TCCCGGAACATTCCAGCCCGATGTATTGGATGCTTTTTGTTCAACGCTGGTTGAAAAAAACTCAAAATTTTACAAAGAATGTAAAGGCTTATTTAGTGCTTTTGCCACCCAGAAATGTTGCTGGTTTTGAAAGCCAGTATCTACTTCAATATGACACCCGAAGAACTAATAATATCACCATGTACTAAGTTTCACTAGATATTAACGGTTTGGAGTCAATTCATATCTAGCACGATGCCTTCTTTACGCAAAGTCGTATGCTAATGAGGAAAAATGTAAACAATGACGTCAGCAAAGTTCTCATTCTTACATAAACCGCGAACTGACCTTGTTTTCTTTGCCTGGAGCTTTCCAATTGGAAAAAAAATCACCCTTTATATGAAAAAAGTCCTTGATCTCGCTTTCGTCCTCAAAATATTAAAGTTGGTCATGATAAGAACGCGTAGCAACTTAATTGACCCTAGTCAGCCTCCGCCATTCATTTTCGATGCCATCGAAATGATTGATATTGCATGGTGATGCGAAATCTTATTGTTTCACTGTAAGTTGTGTTCCTGAAAGTATATTTAATTACCTTTAGTAGTTTCAGAGTGATTTCCTTCGTTTTGACATGCTCCGAATAAAATATAATAGCCAAACGCTCGCATGTAAAACAAAAACAAAGGTGTAGCTGACTAGGGGTCTTTAAGGGGGCACAAGGACCATGCGAGAGCGCGAAAGCACCAATGGGAAAACGTTTACTGCTTAGGAAAAATTAAAAAGAAGTAGTCCATTAACGATTTGTTGTTTTAAATGACCGTGCTTGTATCTCCTTTTCACCAACCAGATCATGTTCGAGACATTCAATACTCCGGCAATGTACGTCGCCATTCAGGCTGTGTTGTCTCTCTACGCCTCTGGCCGTACAACTGGTATTGTCTTTGACAGCGGTGACGGAGTCAGTCACGCAGTTCCCATCTACGAAGGTTACGCTCTTCCCCATGCCATCCTTCGTCTTGACTTGGCCGGCAGGGACTTGACAGACTACCTCATGAAGATTCTGACCGAGCGTGGCTACTCCTTCACCACCACAGCCGAGCGTGAGATCGTGCGTGACATCAAAGAAAAACTTTGCTATGTTGCTCTCGACTTCGAGCAAGAAATGACGACCGCTGGCTCAAGCTCTACCATGGAAAAGAGCTACGAGCTTCCGGACGGTCAGGTCATTACTATTAACAACGAGCGTTTCAGGGATCCTGAGGCCCTGTTTCAGCCCTCTTTCCTTGGAATGGAAACTGCAGGCATCCACGAGTCCACCTACAATTCCATCATGAAGTGCGACGTGGACATCCGTAAGGACTTGTACGCCAACATAGTATTGTCTGGGGGCTCCAGTATGTTCCCAGGAATCGCTGACAGAATGCAGAGAGAAATCACTGCTCTGGCTCCACCCACAATGAAGATCAAGATCATTGCTCCTCCTGAACGTAAATACTCTGTATGGATCGGAGGATCGATCTTGGCCTCGCTGTCCACCTTCCAACAGATGTGGATTTCCAAGCAAGAATACGACGAAGCAGGTCCTTCTATCGTTCATCGTAAATGCTTCTAAGGCTAGAACTTCAATTTGCTTTCATTGAAACTTTAATTGAATATTTGGTCTCTGTTATTTCACCTTTAACGTTATATACAAAAACTTCCCCAAACCACTTCTCCGTGTAGAAAGTATTGTTTTGTCAACTCTTGGGCATCATTAAAAAAAGTGAAAAAAGAATGTTTTGGTTGTGATTTAATGGCATCAAATTTCTTCAAAAGAGAGTAATATTTGTTGTGAACGCCTGAAAAAGCGACGATCACGTGACTAACTTGAAAACCTGTCTTTTCACGTTGCTCGACTTCTTTAGTGACCGCGCAATCTAGTCAATATACAGTCATGTGAACGAAATCACGGTCAACGCGGACATCAACTGAGAAAACAAAACAGTAGTAATTTTGAAACAGCTTGATCGACATGGCGAACGACATAAAATCCTACGGAATGCTATGGGTACGTCAGTGGAACAATCTCCGCGCAGAAAGTATGCTCGTGCTCTCCTTGAGACATTTTTTTTTATGTGGCGAACCTAACCTGTTCTATCACCAACTTCAAGTTATTTTAATTTATGATATGGCAAATTGCTCCACGACAGAAAGAAGAATTCTGATTGGTCCCTGAGCGGTCCGAATTTTACAATACGGACCGCTAAAATGGACAGTTCAGAAATTGTTTCGGCAAATTGCTTTTTCAAAACACCGCACAAAAGGAAACAGTTTCTTCTTAAATAGAAATATATTTGTCTTGATGTCTGGAGGATAATCTTAGTTTAGCTTTGACGAGAGCGGTCTGAAAAACGCAAATACACGCTTAGCTTTGGCGTGCTGAGAATTGATGCATTAGTTTATCAGCAAAATTTTAAGAGACCAGTATTAGTCAGTTATTGAAGCATCTTGTTCCGTCCGTATTAGGCAATATTGGTCTCTGGATCGAGCCGCAGGCGAGGTCCATAAAAAAACCTCCACCAATTCCCAAACATGGACCGCACGCTTGTTCAATAACATACATATGTATTTCACGCGTGCGCATTCCGTGTGTAGGCAAGTACAGTTTGTTACATGTTTTTTGTAGCGACGCGGAAGAAGTAGATAAGACATAAGAGAAGGAGAAAGCAAACAAGCTTAGAAACAAACAAACAAACAA